TCTCCAACTCTTAAGGTCAAAATATGTAAATTTAAACTTCCCATGTCTCCACTTCATAAGGGGTTAAAAAAGGTGGCTGGGGAAATGGCTATATGGGACAGGTTTATGTTCCCTGATCCAAGAGAAGAGCCATGCCTGCATCATCAGATCTAGGTCAGGGAACCAAAATCCAGATGGCTACTGGGCCGGTAGATGATGGCTAATCCAAACACCTATACTGCCTTCATTTCTTTCTTTTCCTTTATCTTTATAAACAAATATAATCATGGGAAGTATAATTTATTCTCACTGTAAATTAATACACACACACACACACACACACACACACACACACACACACACACAAGCTTTGGGTTAAAGCGACACTGAAAAAAACATCTTCATCAGTAAAGGCATCTCCATCCGGGCTGTTTAGCTCTCCAGTGAGGAAGTGATATTATCTCAGCCTGCACGACAAACATCATCTTTTGATCTTAGTTTGGTTTCTCTTGCTGTGATAAAGCACAGGGACCAAAAGCAACTTGAAGAAGAAAGAGTTTTTGCAGCTCACACTGCACACTCCATCAGCGGGGGACGGCAGATAGGAGCTGATGCAGAGGTCACGGAGGAGGATGCTTGCTGGCTTGCTCAGCATGCTTTCTCATAGACCCCCAGAACACAAGCCCAGCGATGACTCCACCCACAGTGGGCTGGCCGGGCCCTTCCCCATCCATCACTAATCAAGAAAATGTCCTACAGCCCTGTCTCCAGGCAATCTAATGGAGGCCTTTTTTTCAATTGATAATCGTTTCTTCCTGGATGACCACAGCTTGCGTCAAGCTGACAACACAGCTGCTAACATCTGGGACTCGAACCCAGATCCTCTGGAAGAGCAGCTGGTGCTCCTCACCCATGAGACAAATTCAGCCCTCTTCTCAATCTTAAAGGTACCGGAATATAAAACTCTCTACCGTTTTCAGTGAGTGCCCCTAGATTTTACATAATGTCCTGGGCATTTATGAAAATTGTTTTCATGTATTGTTTGTGTGGGAAAACAATTTAACAAACCCTGACCATTTCATTTTTTAAATTTATTTTTATTGTGTGTTAAATTCTTTTTTTTTTTTTTTTGGCATTCCTAATTAACACAATATTTACAACTGTATTTTGGTGATGTATTAAAAAGCCTGATAATGCTAGCTGTGGTGGCACACGCCTTTAATCCCAACACTCAGGAGGCAGAGGCAGGTGGACTCTGGTCCACAGAGTGAGTTCTAGGACATCCAAGGCTACACAGAGAAACCATGTGTCAAAAAACAAAACAAAACCTCTAATAACAACAATATTTGTGATGTTTTGTATTTTAAATGCTGGTGTTTCTTAGTGAAATTAATATCTAAGCTGTCCTATGAGTCAACTAGTGGAGATTAAAATATTAATTAAATAATACTTTGCTGATGGAAAGAAAATGGTCAACATAACAATGATTCCATATGGACTCCCATTTCCATTTCTAACCATTAAATAAAAAAGATGGCAGGTGCTGATGACCCATACCCTTTGATCCTAGTACTTGGGAGGCAGAGACAGCAGACCTCTGTGCGTTCAAGGCCAGTCTGGTCTACAGAGTGAGCTTCAGGACAATCAGAGCTACATAGTGAGACACTGTCTCAAACAAACAAACAAACAAACAAATAAATAAGATTTGGTTTCTGGATGGTGGTGATGGCACACACCTTTAATTTCAATAATCAGAAGGTAGAGGCAGGTGGATCTCTGTGTTTGAAGCCAGCCTGGTCTACACATCGAGTTTCAGGACAGCCAGGGCTAAACAGAGAAACCTTATCTCAAAAAACAAACAAACAAACGAAAGATTTGGTAATGCCTGCAAGGACTACAAAAATCGTTATATCTAACAATTCTAATCTCATTTCTATTAATGCTATTAATATTTCATACTTATAAAGAGAAAGTTACTTTCAAAAGTTCGAAGGAAGTCTATATTGTTACCTAATTTCTTTTGTATGTGGCTTTTCATTTAAAACCACTGTAAAAACTGTAATAACACAGATTGTCAGTATTCACAGACAAAAGCCCTAATACTTCAAATATTAAAAGACGTGCCTTCCCTAGACTTATAGCCAGCCACTCCACATGAGGTGATAGCTATAACGTAAAAATGGACAAAATGGACAAAATGGACAAAAGAAAAACTAAAATTGAAAGACAATTGACTTGTTTAAATTCTCCAAACATAAACAAGATAGCCATAGAGCACACCACACAGTTGTCAATATGGAGGAATACGTCCAATACATCCATCCAGCTTTTTTTGTTTTTTAGACAGGGTTTTTCTGTGTAGCCCTGGCTGTCCTAGAACTGCTTGAACTCAGAGATCTGCCTGCCTCTGCCTCCTACGTGCTGGGATTAAAGGTGTGAAACCACCACCGCCTGGTCCATCTAGCCTTTTTAAAATGTGTAAATTTGGGGGACTGGAGAGATGGCTCAGCAACACTGGCTGCTCTTCCAGAGATCCTGGGTTCAATTCCCAAAAACCACATGGTGGCTCTATCTGTAGTCTCCTGAGAACAGATGCCATCTTCCAGTGTGCAGATATACCTGCAGATAAAAAACCCACATACATTAGATAGATAGATAGATAGATAGATAGATAGATAGATAGATAGATAG